CTCAGAGGGCATTGCTGTAGAAAGTGGGACGTGTTCACAGATAACCCACATTCCAGGAACAGTCAGCAGAGACCTGTGCTGCCCTCCAACCAGCCTTGATGGGCACGGGAGGGCTCAGGTGTCCTACAGAAATACTGCACCGCGTGCTCCAGGGCCGGAGGAGGCATCCTACATTCCTGTAGGGCAGGAGGGCCTCTTCCAGCCTTCCTGGGCCAGTGGAATTGGTTTCTTCTTGTCCTGATAGTGATTTTAGCTGTGCTTCTGTCCAAGCTTCATTCCTGGTCTGTGGATTTCAGTGTGTGAGAGTCAGGGGTCTAGGGCAGGGGCCTGAGCACTGAGGCAGGAGCTGTGTGTATTGTGGAGGGATACCTGCCAGTGGATGTCAGCTTTCACCATCAGCGCCTCATCTGAGAAGGGTTTGGTTTTTTTTTTTAAATAAAATTCAAATGAGCTCAGCTCTAAACTGCCGAGAATGTGGTTTTGATTTGATAAAAGTGCCTGACGATTAAAGTGTGGAATCCAGAGTGGATTGTCCAGTTTCCCCCAGTGGTCACGTTTTGTGAAACTTTAGTATAGTGCCTGTGTTAGTTTGCTAGGGCTGCGATAGCAAACCACCACAGACTGAGGGGCTTATACAACAGAAATTTATTTCCTCACAGTTCTCGGAGTTAGAAGTTCAAGGTCAGGGCAGGGGTGGTTTCTTCTGAGGCCCCTCTGTTTGGTTTGTATACAACTGTCCTCTCCCTTTCATCCTTCAGATGTGTCTGTGTTGTCCTCTCTTATTAGGGCACCATCATACTGGATTCATACGACCTCGTTTTGCCTTAATCGGCTCTTTCAAGACCCCATCTCCAACTGCAGTCCCTCGGTACCGTACTCCAGTACAGTCTTGGAGGTTTTGGCTTCAGCATGTGAATTGGGGTGTGAGGGGGCACAAATCAGCCCTTAATGAGCATCACAGCCAAGCTATTGACATTGATGCACTCCGTAGGTCTTACTTCCCCAGTTTTGGGGGGGGGTGTTCTTTTTCTTGGGGGAGTGTTTCATTGCTCCACGGCTCGTGGCATCTTAGTTCCCCAACCAGGGATGGAACCCCAGTGTCCTGCCTCGGAAGGCAGATTCTTAACCAGGGGACCACCCAGAAAGGCCACCTGCTTCCACAGCTTTACTTCTGTACTCATGTGGGTGTGAGGTCTACATGGTTTTATTCCCTGTGGAGGTTCATGTCTCCACAACCATAGCTGCAGCTCCACAAGGTCCTTCATGTTGTTTATTCACAACTACGTCTGCCATCTGTCTTCCTGCCCACCTACCCCAGCCTCAACCGCTGAAAACCACTAACTGTCCTTCATTTCCAAAATTGTGTCATTTCACAAGTGACACAAAAGGAATCATACAGAATGAGATCTTTGGGATTGCCTTTCCTCACATAGCATGATTCCCTGCCGTGCGTCCACAGTTTCTTTCTTCCTGTCGCTGGATGGTATTCCAAGGCATTAATGTCCCATAGCTTGTCTTCACTTCAGTTCAGCTGCTGAGTCATGTCTGACTCTTTGCGACCCCATGGTTTGCGGCACACCAGGCTTCCCTGTCCATCACCAACACCCAGAGCTTGCTCAGGCTCACGTCCATCGAGTTGGTGATGCCATCCAACCATCTCATCCTCTGTCATCCCCTTCTCCTCCTGCCTTCAATCTTTCCCAGCATCAGGGTCTTTTCCAATGAGTCAATTCTTCGCATCAGGTGGCCAAAGTATTGGAGTTTCAGCTTCAGCATCAGTNGTCCACACTTGGTGTTGTCACTTTTATTTTAGCCACTCCAGTAGGTGAGTGACCCTGAGTCAGAACAGCTAGAGCGGGCTCTAGTTGGTTATCCCCTTCCCCTCGCTGATTCCGGCCTGGTAGAGAAGGAGGTTTCCCTTGAGGGCAGAGAGCAGAACGCTCTGTGTCTTCAGAGCAGTCTCTGTCCTAGTCTGCTCAGGTTCCGTACAGAATGTCACAAGCAGGCGGCTTAAACTACAGGAGTTTGTTTCCCAAGGTTCTCAAGGCCAAGATCAAGGCGGGGCTGGCTTGGCTCCCATGAGGCTCTTCCATGCTTGTGGGCGGCCCCCTCTCACTGTGTCTCCTTATAAAGTCACTGTCCCATTGGATGAGGACCCCACCTTGTGAGCACAGTTAACCTTAATGACCTGCTAGCAGCCTTGTCTCCAGACAGTGGTGACTTTGTGGACCTGGTTCTACCCACAGCAGCCACTCTGTTTAGGCCTCCAGCCTTTGACTCCTGGTGAGCTGTGACCCTCTTCGCCTGTTTTTCTTTCCGGTTTCCAGAGCATTGGTTTGCCCTGTGACTTCAGTTCTCTGATGGATCTCAGAAGAGTTGTTGACTCTCAGTTACTCCGCTTTTTCTTTGTTCTTGTTGGGAGTGACGACTTCCAAACTCTTTCCAGGCCAGGGCAGAAATGGTGTTTTGTTTCTCACGTGGGTTTCTGCACGTTTACTGTTAGGGCATAGAAGCATAGTATATTTTCACCTGCTGACCTTGTGTCCTTGCTGAGTTCCCACTCACTCTGGGAGTGCTTTTGTCGCCTCTGGTTTCTCAGACACCTGCTGTACCCTGGAGAGACCCGCAGTTCCCATCTGCCTCTTCCCTCTGCTGCCTGCCTCCCCCTGAGCCTGATAAGGTGGGAACACCCACCCTGGGGCAACAGTGATGCACCCGCCTAGCAGAGGGTTCAGACCCTCAGCCTCCGGAGCAATTGCTAGGGAAAAGCAGAGGAGCAAAACATGGTTTGTGTGAAGGTGTGTGACAGATGGTTGGAGATAATGAGCTTGCTATGTCACCTGCTGGCTGCTGTTTATCCGAGGCTACACCGCCAGTGTCCAGCATGCACTGTCTGCCAAGTGGGTGATTTCATCAGTGTGCTGTGTTTAATGACAGTGATCAGATTGTTGAAGAGAATCACGTGCCTTAGGTTTAGCTAGGGTTTTTTGTGTTTGTTTTTTTTCCTTCAACATGTGTAAGATAATGTCAAAAATAACCGTGGGAGAAATGAGAAAATTATGCCAGTTCTCCAGAGCAGTGATGGGCTGTTGATGGGGTGTGAGCGCTCCTGATGGGTTGTGAGCACTCCTGGTGCCCAGCGTTTGGTTCTTGGGGGATGGATCAGAGTTCATTCTCCGCGCGGTGGCCTGAGAGCCCATCACTCTGGGGACACTGAGCGAGCGCCTCACCCACTAGTTGCTGATAGCAACCCCGCCCCCAGCTGTGATGACCAAAATGGTCTCCAAAGATTGCTAAGCATCCCCTGGGGAGAAGAGTGTCCTGGTTGAGGACCCCTGGGATGCTGCTGGCTTAAAAAAATAACTTGTCTACCTGTGTTTTCTCCCTTTTTGTTCCAGAGTCACAAGTGTAGGGATGAACTATCCCAGCTCAACCACAGGGTCCTGCAGCTTGGAGAGGAGGCCTCTACCCACCAGGCCCAAAGCGATAAGAATCACGTCACCATCCAGCTGCTGACACACAGACTAGAGGAGGCAGAGCTCCGGAAGGAACTGCAGGTGAATTGTGGGAGGAGCTGCAGGTGAATTGTGGGAGGAGCTGCAGGTGAATTGTGGGTGGGGCAGGGAGGGGCAGGCAGCCTGGCCTAAAACAGACCAGAGATAGCCCTGACGTGCCTGGAGGTAAAGTGAGGGGCTTCACAAGCAAGCGCTGAAAAATGTGTGAACTTTAGCAGTTTTGCAAAGCCTGATGCTTAGAGAAAGTAGCAGAAAGAGATTAAATCCTGATGATAGGAGCCTAAATTGGGATGACCTCTCCAGAGGTCATTATGGCAAAACATACATCAAGAGTGGTCAAGAACGTTGGTGTGCCCTGACTTCATGATTGTGCTGTGGGAACTTTACTGAACATTATCTGTGGATTTAGCTGAACCTACTTTCATTGCGCTGGTGCTTATAATAGCACAACAGAATTGGAATCAGCTTTGAGTCCTAAACTGTATTGACTAAGTCAGTAAATTATGGTGCCGCCATTAATAACCACGTTTTTGAATAGTGTCTAATGCTCTGGACATATGAGAGCATAATGCTCTGGACATATGAGAGAGAAGCAAGGCCTCCAATGTCGTGGTGGCGGCATGTGTGTGTGTGGAGGAAGGGCCAGGAGATACAGCACGTCGGGTGTGCTGCGATCAGGGATGACAAATTTTGTAATTCTTGCCTTTCTGAAGTTTCTGCATTAAACACGTATCACGTTGCTAATGTTCTTCTTATACTTGTGAAACCGACATTTATTAAAAACAGGGTAACCAAATCCAAAAACTTGAACTTGAACTTGACCGCATGACTCAGGAACGTCAGAGCCTGAGACTGGCCCAGTCACAGCTGAGAGAAGCCCTTGAAGAGAGTCGGGACCAGGTGGGTGTGCACGGGGGTCCCGGGCTGAGGGCTCAGCTTCGCCTCTGACCGCCTGCATGGGACTTGTCTGGCCAAGGGCGTCACGTGGCTGGCTGAGGTCACACGGCTAAGGGGGCGCCCTCCAGGCCCAGGACGCACTCAGGCCCCATCCAGGGTCAGGTGGAACACGAGTGAACCGTGTGAAGGGCTGTGCCTGTTTGCTCCCGAGGGCAGGAGTCCATACAGCTCCTCTGGGTGCGCCCTCTGCAGGTGGAGGAGGCAGGGAGCACGGCAGGTGGGCTCCGAGGCTCAGGCCGTGGGCGGCGCAGCCCCCAAGGTGACCAGCTTCTTGCCCCCAGCGGAGCCCGGGTGTGACACACCTGTGGGTGTGCACCCACTGCCCTGCCCAACGCTTGTNCCCCCCCCCCCCGAGACATGCCTGGATGAAAGTGTGCAGATGGCGTAAGGTGCTTACAGGGCATCTAGGGACGGTTGGGGGTTGCAGAGGTGAGGGTGCATCCAGAGCCGTGGGGAGGGAGCGGTCCTGAGGTCACGGGGCCCGCAGGGGAGCCTGGCATCGAAAAGGGTGCTTACACGGGCAGCGTCCCAGGGTGCTGTGGATGGGGGGCCCTGCGCCGGCCTCTCCGTGGCATTGGGTCCTTGTGGCGTGGCAATGAAGCGCCCAGCAAGGGCAGACAAGCATCTGGTCTTCTGAGCACTGTGCCGGGGGGTTCCTTAGCATCACTGTCCCACATTTGGCCAGGCCAGCCTGGATTCAGGGCGGAAAGGTCCACCGTTGTCTGAGGGGCTCACTGCCCCACCCCAGAACACGGAGGCCCTGGCTTCCTGGGTGCAGGGGCCCCACTTCTCTTCTGGGGACGTCCTGCCTTCTCACATTGCAGTCGAGCAGGGCTCTCAGGAGTGGGCCTACCCTCCATCTACACCTTGCTTTATAAGGAGGGCCTCAGGGCACTCAGCTGGGCCGTGCTGAAATTCTGCCTGGCCAAGGAGAGTGGACGGCGAGGCCTGTGGTCAGGCTTCAGGGCTCAGCACAGCATCGGCTGCAGGAGGCGGCAAGGCACCCAGGCAGATGTGCGGGACTCAGATATGGGCTGGAGTGACTGCATAGTGATCATCCAAACCTCTGACACCGCGGGGAGGCGGCTACGTCTGATGCAGGGTGTGTGAGAATCTTCCTCCCCTCTCTTCATCCCAGGAGCGTGGCGGCTGCTCCACTGGACCCGTGTGTGTGGTGTGCCTCTGGGGTCTGTCCAGGGCAACTGCCCGGGGTGGCCCCTCAGACACGCGGTGACACAGGACACTGAGGGCAGTGGGGCTGTGGCTCACGGTTTCACCCGTGCCTGGGGTGGCCCGTGCCCTCCTCCCCAGCCTGCCCTCAGCAGGGCCCCTGGTGGAGCCACCACCTCTCCCGTCCACCGGGTTTCAGAGGGCAGTTCTGTGTGCTCCAGATGAGGCTGCCGGAGCCCGTGGTGTAAACGGTGTTTAGATGGCCTCCCAGGCGCTCTGTGCAGGGAAAGCTCTGGACAGCCTGGTGCCAGCGATCCTGTGGGTTCTGTACCCAGGGAAGCAGTGTCCCAGTCCGTCCACATCCACGCCCCACCAGACGCTGTGTAACCACCTCTGGGGCCCTGGCCACAGCCCGTCTCAGGAGCGTGAGCTCTGCATTTAGAGGGAGGCTGCTGTACGTGGCTGGTGTGGGTCCCGTCATGGAAGGAATTAAACCCAGTGAAGAAACCAGGAGGTAAACATGAGAGAATAACTTGATCCTCCCAGGATCCAGCATGAGGTCACTGGGAGGGCTACAGGCAAGCCTTCCAGGCTCTCAGGGTGCAGAAGCCCCTGAATGGACTTTGTGTTAGTTGCTCCGTCCTGTCTGATTCTTTGTGACCCCATGGACTTTAGCCTGGCAAGCTCCTCTGTCCGTGGGATTCTCCAGGCAAGAATACTGGAGTGGGTTGCCATGCCCTCCTCCAGGGGATCTTTCCAACTCAGGGACCAAATCCATGTATCCTGTGTCTCCTGCATTGCAGGCAGATTCTTTACCATCTGAACTACCGGGAAATGGAGTGTGGGCATCAGATAAAATCCATTTGCCATGAAGTGATGGGACTGGATGCCATGATCTTAGTTTTTTGAATGTTGAGTTTTAAGCCAACTTTTTCACTCTCCTCTTTGTCTTTCATCAGGAGGCTCTTCAGTTCCTCTTTGCTTTCTGCCATAAGGGTGGTGTCATCTGCATATCTGAGGTTATTAATATTTCTCCCGTCAGTCTTGATTCCAGCTTGTGATTCATCCAGCCCAGCATTTCATGTGATGTACTCTGCATATAAGTTAAATAATCAGGGTGACAGTATACAACCTTGACGTACTCCTTTCCCAATTTAGAACCAACTTGTCTTAATGCTCCCCTTTGAAAGGATGGCTGGGCTGATTCCAGTTTTGGGCTGTCACAGAAGCTGCAGTGTACATTCCTAGGCAGGTGTTTGTGTGGATGTTGGTTTTCATTTCACAGGATAAATGCCCAGGATAGCAGTTGCTGATCTGTACCGCAGTTGCATGTTTAGTTTTATATGAAATTGCCCAGCTGTTATCCAGAGCGGCTACTAACAGTTTATGTTCCCGCCAGCAGTGTATGCTAAGTCCAGTTGCCCCACATCCCTGTCCACACTGGGTGTTGTCACTCTTATTTTAGCCACTCCAGTAGGTGAGTGACCCTGAGTCAGAACAGCTCGAGCGGCTCTAGTTGGTTATCCCCTTCCCCTCGCTGATTCTGGCCTGGTAAAGAAGAAGGTTTCCCTTGAGGGCAGGTTTCACCTGGCTTGGCTCCCATGAGGCTCTTCCATGCTTGTGGGCGGCCCCCTCTCACTGTGTCTCCTTATAAAGTCACTGTCCCATTGGATTAGGATCCCACCTTGTGAGCACATTTAACCTTAATGACCTGCTAGCAGCCTTGTCTCCAGACAGTGGTGACTTTGTGGACCCGGTTCTACCCAGAGTAGCCACTCTGTTTAGGCCTCCAGCCTTTGACTCCTGGTGAGCTGTGATGCTCTTCGCCTGTTCTTCTTTCTGGTTTCCAGAGCATTGGTTTGCCCTCTGACTTCAGTTCCCTGATGGATCTCAGAAGAGTTGTTGACTCTCAGTTACTCCGCTTTTTCTTTGTTCTTGTTGGGATGGTGGAAGTGAGGACTTCCAAGCTCTTTCCAGGCCGGGGCAGAAATGGTGTTCTGTTTCTCACGTGGGTTTCTGCACCTTCACTGTCAGAACATAGAAACATAGTAGATTTTCAGCTGTCGAACGGTGTCCTTGCTGACTTCCCACTCACTCTGGGAGTGCTTTTGTTTCCTCTGGTTTCTCAGACACCTGCTGTACCCTGGAGAGACCTGCAATTCCCATCTGCATCTTCCCACCGCTGCCTGCCTCTCCCCGAGCCTGGCTGATAAGGTGGGAACACCCGCCCTGGGGCGACAGTGATGCCCCTGCCTAGCTGTGCATGAACCCTGCTCCGAGGCGCAGAGGGCTTCAGACCCTCAGCCTCCAGAGCAATTGCTAAGGAAAAGCAGAGGAGCAAAACATGGTTTGGGTGAAGCTCCGTCTCAGGAGCGTGAGCTCTACTTTTAGAGGGAGGCTGTGTACGCGGCTGGTGTGGGTCCCGTTATGGAAGGAATTAAACCCAGCGAAGAACCCAGGAGGTAAACAGGGCAGAATGACTTGATCCTCCCAGGATCCGGCATGAGGTCAGTGGGAGGGCTGCAGGCAGGCCTTCCAGGCTCTCAGGTGCAGAAGCGCCCCTGAATGGAGTTTGTGTTAGTTGCTCAGCCCTATCCGATTCTTTGTGACTCCATGGACTTCAGCCTGCCAAGCTCCTCTGTCCGTGGGATTCTCCAGGGGAAATTACTGGAGTGGGTTGCCATGCCCTCCTCCAGGGGATCTTCCCAATCAGGGACCAAATCCACATATCCTGTGTCTCCTGCATTGCAGGCGGATTCTTTACTGTCTGCACTACCAGGAAATGGAGTGTGGGCATCAGATAAATGGACTCTTTAGAAATCGTGAGCTTTCCTGGACACGCTCTTACCTTGTGGGGTGGCCTACCAGGTAGAGATGCAGTTTTCTGTGACTGGTGGTGACCCTGAAGGTCTGGGCAGTCAGCCCACAACTGCTGTGACTTTTCCCCGGTAGCTGTATGGAGCCACCCAGAGGCTGTGGCTGCCCCAGTCCCAGTACGCCCAGCGGGTGCAGCAGCTGCAGGAGGAGGTGGCACAGCGCGTGCCCACAGGCTGCGTGGCCGAGCTGCAGCAGCTGCTGGAAGGGGAGCAGCAGGCAGCTTGGCGGCTCCAGGAGGAGGCGCAGGTGAGTGGGGACAGGGCTGGGGGGCCAGCTGGGGGCGACAGGCCGGGTGAGTAGGACCTCAGGTGACGTAGCCACAAGCTGCCCAGGTGCCAACGTGAGGACGGCCCGACAGCCCTCCCGCCAAGTGGGATGTTTATGGAAGCCATGGTACCCGGCTTCCGCTGGGAACTGGTGGGTCTTGAGCTGCTGACCCTGACGTCCCCCAGCCTGTTTTCTTGGCTGAGTGTGTCTGCAGCCAGCCACACACGTGACCTGCTTCCAGGTCTGAAAGGTGGTGATAGAAGGGCCCCAGCAGACAGATGGGCAGAGATAGCTCTTCAGGGGTGCACGCAGGTACAAAAGTCCTGAGGTGGGCTATGCTTGGCGTGTTCAAAAGCAGCAAGGAGTAGGGGGCTGGTTGGACATGAGATCAGCACAGTGACAGCACGGACTTGGGGAGCCCTGATGTGTGCCAGCCTCTCATGGAGAAACAGAGTTGCTGCCTTAAAAGTGCAGCAGAACGGTGGCTCAGAGCGTGCACTGCAGGGGACTGGATCCTGGCTCCACCACCTGAGCCGAGTGATTTAACTGAGGGAGTGATTTAGCCCTCTGTGCTGCCGTTTCTTTCAACCTCTGGAGGCAGTGGTTCCCACCTCAGAGCAGTCTCTCAAGCATCAGTGAGTGAGCACCTCAAAGTGCGAGCCTGGGAAGCACATTTGGGTCCTCACAGTTCATGGCTCAGTGGGAGGGTGAGGAGGGGCAGAGGGCCAGGTGCCTTCCTGAGGAAGGAATTTGTGCAAGATTGGAAAGGTGGGCAAAATCTGACAGTTATGAAACACAAATTCTAACGAAGAACAGCCTCATAGCATTGTACATACACATTATGCTGGAGAGACATTTAAGCTAGGGCAGATTATTGACAAAGGAAATGTAGTCAAAGATCCTCTAGAAAGACTATCATGTTTGGGGAAACTCAACTTTGAGTCATGTAGGATTAAAATCCTTGGACAGAGAGTCTCTAATCTGCTCACACTACAGTGAGAAATGCAGCTTTGTGGCTTGTGAGACATTTCTAATCATCCGTCCCTATGGATGACAGGTTAGCCAGATGCTCGGATTTTGTGCACTTCAGCTGATTTCCATTCTAAAGTAAATAAGCCTGAGATGATTCTTTTTAAAGTGAACCGTGTTGATCTCTAACCTCCTCTTGTTCAGGAAGCACATGAAAAACAGCTGAAAGCAACAGAAGAGCAGTGAAGGAGGTGGAGATGACTTTGAAGAACATGGAAGTGCTCCTCCAAGAGAAAGTGGGTGAGCTGAAGGAACAGGTGAGTGACAGACGCCTCCTTTGGGCGACTGGGTAGCTGATGAGGGAGACAGGACCCAAGAGAACCCTGTGTCCTGCGGAAGTGCTGAGGAGGGGAGCGGAGGGCAGGGAGAGAGGGGAGAGAGAGGCCTTGCTGTCCTATGAGGTCTGCTTGGTGCTCCGGGAAGTGAAATGTGAGCATCTGTGGAAATACTTCTCTACACAGGGACCGAATGTGGTTTATCTGGAGTGCCCTGGGCCGCGGGTCCCCAGTTCTAGTCTCTGTGCAGGCTGCCCACTCCAGACCCTCACTCCCCATCTGTGTAGCCCCTGTCCTGCCGGCACCGCCACCCTCCAACCTTGTCTGTCCCCGGGTCCTCACTTTCCTTCCCAGCCGTCAGGCTCTTGGTGACCCCAGTACCCACCAGTCACTCTTGGCAAAACCTCAACCCCAGTAAATCTTGAGGCTCCTACATGCCAGGGGTACATCCTCAGAGTAGACAGCAGCTTCTCTGGTGGCCTAGAGATTCTGCAGGACCTGGTCCCCTCCCTTTGGGCCTTTGCCCAGCCGGCGTGTCAGCTCTGCCTTCCTCATGGGCCTCCTGGCCGTTCCTGTCACCCCCGCATGTGCCGGCCTCTGCCCGGGAGGTTTACCCAGGCAGCCTCCCCCACGCCCCCCATGCTCCTCTCAGGGCTGTCTGTTCACCTCAGGCTCAGCCGTGTGTCCCCCACCTGGGTTCTCTGTGAACACGCAGGCTGACACTGCGTGCTCTGCAGGCTCCTCCCGTTAGAACACGTGCCTGTGGGAGCAGGGCCGCGGCCGGGCAGCACTTGGCCCACAGAGCTGCTCAGTAGCTAGTTGAGTGAGTGAACTCAGCGCGCACTCTCAAAGCCCAAAGCCGGGACCCCCGCATCTTTGCATCTTGACCGTGTATCCTGTGTCCCCGTCGCTGGAGCCCCTGTGGGTGTCATGTGGGCAGCACCCAAGGAGCCTCTGCGCGTCCTGCTGACATGGTGGGCCTGCAGAGCCCGCTGAGATAAGCCAAACAGTTTGGGTGCTCCTGACAGTTTCCTCGTTGTCTTTTGGAGGCCTCCAGATTTGGGTCTTCTTGTCTTCATTTCGTGGTAACTCAGTTTGCACAAAGGTGGCTTAAATTTTCTCTACCACATAGTTCGTCAATTTCCTCTGTCATGCCAGGATAACAAAACCTGTCATTGCATCCAACATGTCTCTGATTTGTAAGGTTCCCCAAGCTAGTCTGAACGCGTGTGGAGGAATAGGAAGGGAGAGCTGGTGGCGTGGCGTGGCTGTGGGAGACGTGCCGTACACTGCGGCTCTCTCCCCTCTCCCGTTTGAAAAGAGCACACAATCTGATCTGCTGCTCAAGGAGCTCGATGTGGAAAATGCCCACCTGACAAAAGCGCTTCAAGCCACTGAAGAGAAGCAACGAGGCGCCGAGAAAAAAATCCCGATTCTTGGAAGGAAAAGTTAGAGCTCTCAGCAAACTCCTCAGCAAGATTGCTACAGCATCCCTTGCTGTGTAAACTGCTTTTCTTCATGGCGTTCATTCTGAAAGAACGTCTATTAAAGTAAACCAGTGTGACACCGTAACTTATTGTGGCTCACTGTCTGTACACCCCTGGATAGACGAGGATTGTCATTCTGTTTACCCCACAAGCATTTAATGAAGGTCTGTGTGCCAGATGCTGGGGAAACAGGTTGGAAGAGACTACTTTTTGTTTTTAGTAGTCCTCGGGTAACTTCCAGAGTTAGATTCCTCATTTTGCTACTGAAAAGGAAACCAGATTATGGAGTTCTCAGCAAGGTAAACAGTAAAATAAAGCAATTTTAATCTTGCACTTCTGACCTTGGCTACAGAGATTAAAATGCAAAGTTTGGGCTCTGTCGTTTTACCATTGCACTGTTAGTGCTGTGGGTTTAGTCTCTGGCATTCTCGATGGTGGATCGATGTAGACACTCCAGAAATGCTACACTTTCTGTGACTTTGAACTAGCGATAAGGGATAGAGGAAGGAAGCCTTTTTGTCAGGGCCTGTTCCACCACAGGGAGGTCTAGACAGTGCTGGTGTTTTAGGGCTGTGGACTCAGGGAAGATGGTATCGTATCCATTGTGAATGCAATTTTTTCCTCACTGAAATGTCATCACACTGCAAAGTGTATTATATGTTTAAAAAAAAAACAGGAAAGAAGTATAGTTTTATAGTCAAGATATACATAAATTATGGTCATTTGGTTGATCAGAATTAACTACTGTAATATGAAGTCACTGTATCTGCAATAAAATCCTTTTCTATTAAAATCGATTAACTTCTAAATATTTTTTAAACTAAAATATTTCAAAGATATAGAAAAATAGTTCTATAGGAAACATTCATATGTATTACATAAACGTGCAGATGTGTTAAGAACATTGTTACAACATCTTGGACAGAAGCCCAGTCCCTGTTCTACTGCAGCTAACCTCTTTCCTCTTCCTGGTGGCAACCGCTCTCCTGAAGCTGCTGCACGCCCCCTCCCCTCCATCTGTCTGCACATTTACTGTACGTGCTTGAATGAGAAAAACCTTCAACCACTGGAAGAGATGGAAAGTTCAGATCTGGGGTAGGAGGACTCAACAACATAATGTGGACTCTTCTCTCCATGCATCTATGGTTGCTTAACCTATGACAAAGAGGCAAGAATGGACAGTGGGGAAAACCCTCTTCAATAAGTGGAGCTTGGAAATCTGGACAAATCCATAAAAGAATGAAATTAGAACATTCTCTGATACCATACACAAAAGTGTACTCAAAATGCATGAAGGACTGGCATGGAAACTTTTAGAGGAAAACATAGGCCGAACACTCTTTGAGGGAATTCTCTGGCAGTCCAAGGGTTAAGACTTGGCACTTTCACTGCTGTGAGCCTGAGTTCGATCCCTGGTCAGGGAACTAGGATCCCACAAGTCGCATGGCACAGCCAAGAAAAAAGCACTCTGATATAAATTGCAGAAACATCCTTTTTGATCCATGTCTTAGAGTACCAAAAATAAAAACAAAAATAAACACATGGGACTTAATTATACTTAAAAGCTTTTGCACACCAAAGGAAACAATAAACCAAACAAAAAACTAACAAGGACAAAATATTTGCAAAGGAAGCAACTGACCAGGGATTAATCTTCAAAAAATATGCAAATAGCTCTTGTAGCTCTATGTCAAAAAAATAAAAAACCAAAAACCCAGTTTAAAAATGGGCAGAACAAATAATTAAAAATAAAACATAGAAATGGGCAGAAGACGGTAATAGACATTTCTCCAAAGAAGACATACAGATAGCCAGTAGGCACATGAAATGATGTTCAGCATCACAGATTATCAGAGAAATGCATGACAGAACTGCAATGAGGTATCACATCACACTGGTCAGAGTGGCCATCATCCAAAAGTCTACAAATAATAAAGGCTGGAGAGGGTATAGAGGAAAGGAAACCCTCCTACATTAGTGGTAAGACTGTAAAATGGTACAGCCACTATGGAGAAAGGTATGGAATTTCCTTAAACAGCTGAAAATGTAATAGAACTACTGTATGATCCAGAAAGCCCACTCTGGGATATATATCTGGAGAAAACTATAATTCAAAAAGATACACATATTCCAGTGTTCATTCCAAACTCCCTTCCCATCCACGATTGCCACATACCATTGAGCAGAGTGGCCTGTGCTATACAGTAGGAAAGACGATTGAGTTTTCCACCTTGGATCCATCACTTACTGGCAGAGTGGCTTTGGTGAGGTTACTTAACCTTCCCTGAGGGGAGCAGCTACTAACCTTCTGCTGGAGGAACCAGGGAGGTGGGTTCCCTGCTGTCCCCTCGCCAGCAGCACATTCCTTGGCCCTGGTCCACTGGTACTTTGTCTTGTCCAGGCAGAAATGTTTAGGCCTGAGTCCTGCTTCTCTTCAGTGGAGAACCTTCATCATTAGCCTTCCTCTACTCACCATGCTTACTCCTTCCAAGGAAAGTTATGACCAACCTAGATAGCATATTAAAAAGCAGAGACATTACTTTGCCAACAAACGTCCATCTGGTCAAGGCTATGGTTTTTCCAGTGGTCATGATGGATGTGAGAGTTGGACTGTGAGGAAAGCTGAGCACCGAAAACTTGATGCTTTGGAACGGTGGTGTTGGAGAAGACTCTTGAGAGTCCCTTGGACTGCAAGGAGATCCAACCAGTCTATCCTAAAGGAGATCAGTCCTGGGTGTTCATTGGAAGAACTGATGCTGAAGCTGAAACTCCAATACTTTGGCCACCTCACGCGAAGAGTTGACTCATTGGAAAAGACCCTGATGCTGGGAGGGATTGGGGACAGGAGGAGGAGGGGACGACAGAGGATGAGATGGCTGGATGGCATCACTGACTCGAAGGCCATGAGTTGGAGTAAACTCCGGGAGTTGGTGATGGACAGGGTAGCCTGGCGTGCTGTGGTTCATGGGGTCGCAAAGAGTCGGACATGACTGAACGACTGAACTGAATTGAACTGAACTCACCATCCTGGGGTCTGGGACCTGGTGCCCACCTGCCCCAGGCCCACTGCCTCCTGGCCTCCTGCCCACTCTCCAGAGCAGCTGGACCCCTCCTTCCTCCCCAGCCTTGCCTTGATTATACCTAATGTCCACCCTTACTAGACTAGCGTTCCACCTAGTGACGGCACGTCCCCTGATTCTGCAGAAACAGTGATAATGCACAAATTAATAAGAGTAGTGACCGCTACCACATGTATACTTAACAAAATGCCCCTTCACTCTATGTGATAACCTCCAACACCCACAGCTTCATAAAGTGATGCCAGGATGAGACAATTGAGGATGAGGGTTTAAACTTGATATTTGAGCTGGGACTTGCACACGCACGGCCTACCTGCCACCAAAATCTGACTCTGCTGCAGCCCTTGTTTTTTCTTTATCACTGTGGGGGTTAGTTGATATTAGTGCCAGATCGGTGTTGGAACGGCCTTGCTAGGCATGATCTATCCCTCTTCCTCCCCAGGCAAACAGTCTAATTTGCAGGCTGAAATCACAGTAGACAGGAGATAGATACATGGATCCATAGAAAAATGGAGAAAATAAATGGGTTGAAATATCTGAGGTTCATTTAGGGGCAGAGCCAGAGTAGTAATTCAAAACGATCTTTGTCTTATCCGCATATGACTATGATCTCTCTTCTCAAAGCTGAGGGCCCAGACATGGCCCTTGCGTTCTACCCTCCTACAGGTGTAGTTTATTTAAGCATCTGAACGCCAGCATCCCAGCTCCCTTTAGACAGATTTCTTGTGCTCTGACAGCTTCAGAAAGTAACCAGGGAGCAAATGTGGACACAGCGGCCCAAGGACCGCTTGGAGCTGCCGGCTGCACTTGCCTCGATCACGGAGACATGATTCTCCCATCCCTCAGCCTCATTCACCGGCTGAAAACAGCCCCCACCCCCACCCAGGGCCCATCCTTGTCTGTGATAAAGAATCCTCTCTCTCTCCGCCCCGCACACACCCAGGTTCACACCTGGGCCAATTACACCGTGTTTCAGGTTGGCCATTGCCTGTGGTGCGGGATCAGAAATGATAGGTTTACACTACACTGTGAGTTTGGGTCAGAATGTGTCTTGAGCCAATGTGTGTTCCCTGCTTCTTCCCAGCCTCAGCCACTACCTGGGAAGAGAAAAAAGCTCGTTGCTCTTTCCTGGGAGCCAGGCTGAACATGCTCTCCAGCTGTTCTCCACACCTGGGATACGTTTAATCAGAGCACAGTGTCAGCCACACAGACTCAGGGCAGGAGTCCCCTCCCCGCCGGGAAGTGATAACAGCCCGTGACTGCATGCACCACAACCCACCCCCTCCCATCTGTGGGGACAGATGAGGGTCTTGAGCGCCTTTTCCCTCCAGTGAGGATCCAGCTCGTGGCCTCACCATGTGATGTTTATACCCTGGTAACAACACTGGCAGCTTTCTCTGAACCTTACCATCTGGCACCCACGACCTGAAGTGCTAAGAGCTCTCCCCCTTCACCTGTAGGCGAGCTGTTTGATTTCGGCTCCTCTCGACTCTGGTGGCAGAGAGGAGAACAGTTCCACAGAGTGAGGGAGCAGAATCTAGGCTGTGGCGTGGAGGAGAGCGTGGGGCTGGGCAGCTCCTTCAGGGTCTTTGTTTGTGCGTTGAGCACCGTTCAGGCTGCAGGTGAAGGGGGCAGCATGGTTGAGGGAGAGGTTTTGTTTTGTTTAATTTATTCTTAACTGAAGGATAATTGCTTTACAGTATTGTGCTGATTTCTGCCAAACATCAGCATGAATCAGTCACAGGACAGAGGGATTTTTTGTTTTTGAAGATGGCAGCCATCCTGGTCAAAGCTTCTTGGTCCCTGCTTTTCCGCCTATCAGACGCTGTTTCCCCAAGTAGGCTAGCTTCCCTGTTAGCTCAGTTGGCAAAGAATCCACCTGCAATGCAGGAGACCCCAGTTCGACTCCTGGGTCAGGAAGATCTACTGGAGGAGGGATCGGCTACCCACTCCAGTGTTTTTGGGATTGCTTGGTGCTCAGCTGGTAAAGAATCTGCCTGCAATGCGAGAGACCTGGGTTCTATCTCTGGGTTGGAAAGGTCCCCTGGAGAAGGGAAAGGCTACCCACTCCAATATTCTGGCCTAGAGAATTCCATGGAGTGTATAGTCCATGCCTTAGCAAAGAGTCAGACATGACTGAGCGACTATCACTTTCACTTTTCATGCTTTTTATAAATGGCCTTTATTGTATTGAGGATATTTCTATTTTATTGTATTTTTTTAAAATCATGAATGGGTTGTGAATTTTGTCAAGTGTTTTTTCTGCATAGTCTTACTTTCACTTCTTTCTTGAATGTCAGTAGATTTGCTCTCTGAATTCATTTGGTCCTAAGCTTTTAGCTTTTGGGAGTTTTTTTTTTTTTTTAATTAATATTTGAATCTCCTTATTTCTTATTGGAGTGTTGAGTTTTTCTACTTTTTTCTTGTTTTAGTCTTGACAGATTGTTTTTCACAATTTATCTAGGTTTTCCAGTTTGCAATTGTTTATCAATAATAATTGTCCCTTCTGATTATGCTTCTTTACTTCTAAGGTATCTGTTGTAATGTCGCTTTCCTTTCTGTCTCTTTGTCTCCTCTCTTTCCTTCTTACCTTAGGTAAGGATTTATTGATATTGTTTGTTTCTTTGAAAAAATGCATTTCCAGTTCTTGCACATGCACACTGGGCATTCTGGCACACGGGCAGTGTGCTCAGAGGTGTCGCTTAGCGACGATCATTCTGGGATGCAAGATTCCAAAGCGTTGAGCTTCCCAGCTGGGAGGTTGTGGCGGGACGGCTCTGGCTTACCTCTAGTGCTCGTGTTGGGCTTAGGGGACTGCAAAGAGCCCAGGGGGAGTTGAGGTGTGTTTGGAGTCTGTAGGCTCTGCGATGAAGAATTTTGGCTTCAGGAGAAAAAGGGCGTGTCACCCTTCGGCCCCTCCATCAGCCTGGGGAGAGACAGAGGTCATCATAAAACCAGCTTCCAGCCCTGGTACCGCATACGAGACAAGGACCTCAGAAAGATCCACAAAGCTGCCAGCGTCGGCAACGTAGCTGAAGTGCAGCAGGTCCTGTTGCTTGGAGAGAATGGCTTGAACGAGAAGGACAAGATGAACAGGTAAGCGGGGAGGAAGGGCCTGGCAGGGGTCCCTCCTGTGAGTTTCCCCTCCAAAGCTCACAGACACCTTTGTGGGATCCAGTGCCCCACAGACTTGATAGGCTGCGAAAGGCTTAGTTACTTTCGGACCTGCTAATAATTCCCCTTATAGAGCACTTTACTGGTCGTTTTAAAGTTATTTAACTGAATGTCAGTAATCACAGAACTGAAATAAAACATGAATAGCATCTTTTCTTTTCTTCTTCCTCTTCCTCCTCTTCATTTGTTGTTATGCATGCGTTAACTCTTGAGTAAGAGCTCTCAAGTTCTATAGCCCTCAAGAAATCTTCTGGAACTCCCTAGCTCTCACATTGTTTTTCTCATGTGATTTATGAAAACTCTTCTTCCCATTGATCATCCATTGTGGACATTGGCAGTGGACAGATTTTTGATGTTGTCGGCACCTTATTTTTAATGTACACATTTTTGTACCATAATGTTACATATTACAGAAAACTGCATAGTGAGAAAATAATCCCCATGGCAGGTCAACTTCTGGATTAAAAATTCTTCAGATACAATGCAATATCTGTTTTATATCAGTGTACACTTCTGTGTATATGTTCCTTGCTGAAGGACCTTAGAAGACAGCTTTGAAGTAGGAAGCTGGCTGTGTCCTTGAATAGGAGGACATTTTCTTAGGGTATATGGTCTTTCCATGTTTAAACTAAATAAACTGACCGTGGTTTTAAAGATTTTGGGTTACACATGCTGTCTTTAATTGTTGTGATGAAATTAAAAGTTTTGTGTAGTGGGCAAAGATTTGCCCTTTTAGATATCAAAATTTGCTGAATGACATTTTCTATCAGAAAAGATAACTTATGTGTAGATGGTGTAGAAATAACCTGGTAACTATTTAGAGAAAAGTAACTAGATTTTTTATCTCACCAAAAAGTTTTGAATGGAGTACGGATCAAAAATTTTAAACACACAGGGTGAGAATAGTACCAGAAGAAAACTGAAATTGCTATTTATACATTTTTTTCATGGTGACAGAGGCCTTTTTTTTCTAGTTCTACTGGTTATTAACCTTAATATTTGTTTAATTAGATGGTAATTGCTTTCCAATGTTGTGTTGGTTTCTGCTGTACAACATCATAAATCGGTTGGGAATATACATATATCCCACCCCAAGGACCTTTGTAAGAGTGATTTCAAAGGCAAGAATTGTGGAGTTTGCTGGGTTTCGGCACCAAAAAACAAAAAGAAGAAAAAAAAGAAATCTGCAGGTTGATTTAGCAACCCCCACATTTAAACATCTCTGTAGAGCAAGCGGTCTTAGGGAAGTCGGAGGAGCAGACAGGGCTTGTCTTCCTGGCGCTCATGGGAACGTGGCCCGGATGAAAACAGTTTCTCACTTTCAGTTTAACGTAGAATTTTTTGTGAGGATTGGTATCCCGTGACAACTTTCAGCCTTTTCAGAAGTCAAGGGAATCTTGGGAATTTCCTGGCCGTCCAGTGGTGAACACTCACTGTTCTGGGCCCAGGTGAAGGAACTAAAATCCTGCAAGCTACAAGGCTGTATTGTCCAACATGGGGAATATGGCTAATATTTTATAGTCACTTAAATGCAGTGTCTGTTAACAGTTGTGGAGCACTGTGTTGTGACCTGTATTATATAATAATATATAACATACGTCATCTCTGAAGAAACTTAAACCCCTCATGGTAATTAGACCAAGAGAAAAATGAGAAATGAACAAGCAAAAATGCTACAATTTACAGTTGTAAAGACTGTGAATTACAAAATGTATTCCAATGTCAGAGACGTGAAAATGTGAGAAAAGGAGCATATTAGAATTAGCAAAGTACAATGTTGTCTCTAATCCTCTAAACATATCTGCAAAGGAGGTGTAATGTCCTTTGACTTCATTCAGATGTTGTCCTTGTAAGATAGTAGTAGTAGTAGTAAGTATGATAATATAATCTTACAATTACTAGCTGTTATCTGTGCCGGGAACAGTTCTAAACCCTGTGCATGGATCTCATTTAAGCATCACAGTGCTGTCCTGTGAGATAAACATCCCTCTCTCTTCATTTCGTTGGTGAGGAAATTGAGGTACAGAGAGGGTGAGCGACAGCTAATAAGTGACAAAGTCAAATTTAAACTCAAGTTGAGCTGAATCTCAAGGTCTTGTGCATTCTATTCAAGTAGGCTGTTCTTTCATTACTGTGTAAGAGGAGCTAAACCCACTCCAGTGTTCTTGCCTGGAGAATCCCAGGGACGGGAGCCTGGTGGGCTGCCATCTATGGGGTCGCACAGAGTCGGACACGACTGAAGCGACTTAGCAGCAGTAGCGGCAACAAGAGGAGCTAAACTAATATATCCTGCTCTTTCTCCAGAAGAAAACGAAATATTTGTTTTAGAGGGATATGAGTACTATGCTGTTGAGTGTTTTCAATCACACAAAGAGTTGTTTGTTTTGAAACAGTTACACTACATTTTCCTAAGAACTTGTCTTGCTTTCGTAGGACTGCCCTCCACTTGGCCTGTGCCAATGGCCATTCAGCCGTGGTAGCTCTCCTCCTGGAGAGAAAATGCCTGCTTAACCTCTGTGACAGTGAAAACAAGACCGTGCTGATGAAGGTATGGGGCAGCGAACCATGTCCACATGAGATGGATGTGATTTAACTACTGAGACTAAAAATGAATTGATCTCGTTGAAATATAGGGAACTGGTGAACTTGTGGACTATTTACTTTGAATTCCTAGAACTCACACTCTTGTTTCTTGGCACAATACTGACAGGCCGTAGAATGTCAAGAGGAGGAGTGCGCGACTCTCCTGCTGGAGCACGGCGCCGACCCAAATGTCACGGACGCCAATGGCAACACCGCTCTCCACTACGCTGTCTTTTGCCAGAATGTATCACTTGCAGCAAAGCTGCTTTCCTATGACGCCAATATAGAAGCCAGGAACGAGGTATAGCTCAACTAACTTTATTGACAAAATATTTGCAAATCATTTTTCTAAACTAGTGTTTTATGATAACAGGATGTAAATAGGTAGACTGAGTAGTGTCCAGCAGGCCCTGTTACCATGGAAACAACTCCAAAGCCAAGTCAGGGGGTGGGCGGAACATGTCAGGGCCCACAGAAAGGGCCACTCTGTCTTTCTCGGCCACCTTCTACCCCAGAAGGACGATTTTCCCACTAGAACGTGCTCAGGAATGGGTGGTAGGCTCAAGTCCTACAAAAACTGAAGGCCTGGGGAGAGTGAAGTGATGTGGTGGGTGGCTGCTTCCAGGGGCTCAGGGAATGGGCACAGCTGCTGGGGGAGGGATGGGAGTAGGAGGAAGGAAAACCAGTGCCCAGCAGGGGGAGCTGGGGGGTGCAAGTGGGCCAGGGAGGCAGCAGGCCTGGAGCCCTGAGCCCTCCAGGACCCCTGTTCTGAGATCCGGTGAAGTGGGTCAGGTCACGTTTGACACCAGCCAGGGCGTTCACTCGTGCTGGTGACCACTTGGTTCGCCAGGTGCACTCCTCGGGTCTCCCACACCCAGCCCTTGGGGGGCTGCTCGGCGGGGTTGCAGCTGAGTGTGGGGAGCTGGTGATGGTGAAGCTGCCCCTCCTGCTCTTTCTCCTGCTGCTGCAGCCCTGCCAGGAGCTGTAGAGACAGCTCCCCCACTCTCGCAGCTGTGCTCAGTTTTCCTTGTTTGGAAGCTCCAGCCTTCCCTGAGTGAAAATATTTTGAAAGCACTTGATTGTCTAAGATGTCACTTTATTTATTTATTTTTTTTCTCTTGTGGACCTTTTTTTTAAAATTTTTTTTATTATTATTTTTATTAGTTGGAGGCTAATTACTTTACAATATTGTAGTGGTTTTTGTCATACATTGANTGTCATACATTGACATGAATCAGCCATGGATTTACATGTGTTCCCCATCCCGATCCCCCCTCCCACCTCCCTCTCCGCCCGATCCCTCTGGTTCTTCCCATCATGATATTGCTCAAGAAGCATTAGAGAGCAAAGCGTTCTTTTTTGTGTTTATGGCAGATATTTGTGATAACACAGCAATTTTTAAAGGTAAAACTTTTTCCAAGTACTTTTCCCTTACTGAAAAAAAAATTTTTTTTTCTAATTAGTCTAAAATAACACAGTAATACAAAAGTTGCCTTGGAAGTAGACTTTGTCTTAAAACTCGAACAAGCATTTGACAACATAATAGAAATCTTGCTGTTGTTAACACATTCCAATTTTATGAAAAAATGATTTATATAAAAATGATTTCTCTCTCATTGCCCAAGGCTTCAGAGGCTAAAGGGAAAGGAAGAGGAGCGAGCAGCTGAAAAACGCAGATTGGACTGGAATTTTGGCAGTTGGGGAAATGCCAAGAAGAGGGTTTTTTTTTTTTAATGTGTATTTCGCTGTGCTAGGTCTTAGTTTCAGCATGCAGGGTCTAGTTTCCTGACCAGGGATTGAACCCAGACCCCCTATACTGTGAGCGCTGAGACCCAGCCACTGGACCACCACAGAAGTCTTGAGGTTTTTGTTTTTGTTTTTTTCCCCCTTCAGTTTTTATATTTTGGTAAGGTGCTTTTCAGTTTCAGGTATAATAGTTGTTATTTTGAGAAAGAGATTGAATGAGTTGGAGACTTGCCTAGGTATCAATTTTAGGAAGACTCTGCAGAAATCAGATCAGCAGTGAAAAGGTGGTGATTAAGTTGGAAAGAAGAGAGAAGAACAAATATTTAACAGAAATATTATCCTATTCTGGCAGAAACAGCCAGTTAGATAAGAGTCGAGACTCTGCTCTCAATCTAGAAGGTCTTGATGGAAAGGAAGGGGTTTATAAACAATGAGATCAGGTTGCCTTTTGTGTTTATTAGTCCCTGTTCTACCATTATTTACCCAGGAAAATTTAATTCTGTTTTGATGACTCTTGCCTCTTATACTTTTCTTTTTTCTTCAAATCCTCAAGTAAGAGAAGGGATTGGCCATGTGGGTTAGAGATGAGACTGGAATGTTTGCTGGGCTAATTCTCAGCTAGATTGTGCTGGTGAAAACCACAATCCGTTGGGAAAGTTTATAAAAACAATTTACAAACCTAGGCTGTTCCCTGAAGCTTTTGATGGAATAAATCGAGGAAGGCCTGGACGTGTGTATTTAGAAATATTTCCTTGAGATTCTGATACGATCCTTGGTGAAGAACTATGGATTGATTAAGTATAATTTCTAGTGCACGTATCTCAAAAATAAGTAAAATATAGAAGAGTTGGAGTTTGATCAATGCTAGCTACTTCCATCAGCTCCCTCCTTTGCAACAGTATTAGCCTGACTTTTTCCTCTGCCTCTGTGATTGAGAAGTTAAAAGGAACATTTTTGGCAATATCTATTGGCTTGAATGATATAACTCCTTTTTCTTCGAACCACTAATTATTCAGTGACACTCCAAGAGTCTTTAGAGATTTGCTCCTGGCCAAGTCACTTCGTCTGTAGAGTCTGACCCTTTAAGAATATTACACCTTCTGTTATCAACCAGGTCATCAAGTCAACAGATGTTTGTCACCAACAGGGTTTTCCTGACTGCGGTAACAGTAATTCATGAGCCTTCTTTTGGTGTCAGCAGGACAGACTCTTGCAGTGTGTCTGTTAGATTTGCTGAGCCCTGGCATAAGCGAGATGACAGCTTTAAACATCAAAACCCATGAAGTTAGTACAGATGGGGATTGTTTTAATCATGTAGTTTCAGCAGTCTTAGGAACTCATTATCCATTTGGTTAATAATCTGGGAGAATTCTAGAAAGAGATTGTAGTTTTAACAGGCAGTGGAAACATTCTTCAAGTGGGAATTTTGAGTCTTGTTTTTTACATTTATTTTAATAAAATTATGAGTCAATAGCCATTTTTATTACATATTGAGACCCACTTTTCTTGTGAATCACATGATACTCAGGAAAGGAAAGCTTTCACATACAAATATTTGCTTTATACCCACCTGTTTGGAAACAGCAAAACGTAAAAGCACAAATGGGCTACAGACCAAATGTGGTCCTTGGATATGTTTAGCTTACCTACCTCCACAAACTGAGTCAGCATTTAAAATTTCGCAAACTCATGCAGAGGTTTGCGCTTCAGGCTTCTCAGAGAACCAAGTCTGGGCCCCCTTGAGCCCATCCTGCTGTTTGGGCTGCATGTGGAGGCCTCCCCTTCTGTATGGGGCGTGTGTGCGCGGGTTTGCCAGCCTCACCTGGCTTTTTCACTTAGGTCACCAGCTTTCCCTCCGTAAGCATTTGAGTTTCCAATTCTTGATTTATACTTTATTTTGATAACTATTTCAAGGTTTTTTTTTCCATTTATTTTTATTAGCTGGAGGCTAATTAGTTTACAATATTGTAGTGGTTTTTGTCATACATTGACTTGAATTAGCCATGGATTTACATGTATTCCCCATCCCGATCTATTTCAAGGTTTTAAAGACAGTCTAATTAATCTATAATTGATTCCATATTTTAAAAGAATCTCTTAAGGATGGGATCGAATTTTTCAGATTAGAATTTTTAAGTTGGTTGTGGCGGTTTCACACTGAATGAGTCTCCCAGACACACAGGATTATAAGAGAGAGCGTGGGGAGAGTTCACGGCAGAGCAACTCCCCGAGAAAATGCTGAGTGCATATTTATTGGTAACTTACCTTGTAATCTTTCACTAAGAGCAGTAAAGCAAGACAGAGACCAGAACTCTGGGATTAAGGAAGCTTCCTCCTGGAGGTCTGGAGGTCATCACATGAGAGCCGTCAAGAAAGGTCTTTGAAGGTAAGTGGTGGTGTTCTGCATGAAACAGCATCTAGCTAATGCTGACCTGTCAGTTTAACTTAAGGGCGGGGGAAGGAACAAGCAAAGGAGAATGAGTAAGATTAAATTTCAAGAGACTTTGCTGAGAAAGCCGAAAAACATGGTGCCCACAGTTGGTTTTTTTGGAAGAAGAGAAAACAGCCTTTCTCTTTGCATGTTCATGTAGAGTATAACATTCCCATTGGAATGTCTGTAAACCTCATGAAGTTACTCTTGGTCATCCTTGGATAGGTTATGCATGCTACAGATAATATGGTGTATTCCTGCCTCAGCATTGTTCCTAAAATATGGAGCTAGTAAATCAAGTAGCTAATTGATTCTCTCTGGAGGAGTGTTGAGACTAGTAATAGAGCAAGTAAATACTACAATATTCCTGATAAATACTATGATAGAAGCAAAGATCCTTGGAACCCGTAAATGTTGAAAGTGAGTTTTAGAGAATGACTCTGTGGTTCATCTTTGGAAGAGGTAGAGGAGGAGCATTTTATTCTTTACCTTTTCAAAAGACATATTCGGCTGCACTGGGTCTAGTTGTGGCAGGTGGGAATCTTTAGTTTCGGCACTTGGACTCTAGTTCCCTGACCAGGGATGGAACCTGGACCCCCTGCCTTGGGAGCTCAAATCTTAGCCCCTGGACCCCCAGGGAAGGCCAGGAGGAGGAGCATCTTGAAGAGACAGAAGGCGCGCTGGGGGATGAGGAGGAGGGGCTCCCTTTTATTTGCTTTCTGAATTATATGTTTAAGTTCAGAGAACCTATTGCATGATTTTCAGTTCAGTTTAGAAATAGGTTAACTGGGTACATTCAAAATGGTTTTTCCTGTTTTACAGGATGACCTCACACCACTATTATTGGCCATAAGTGAAAGGCAACAGCAAATGGTGGAATTTTTAGTAAAGAAAGAAGCAAATATACACGCGGTTGACAAGATGAAAAGGTACAGTTGTTCTTTTTCTTTTTAAAAACCTTAGTGCTGTTCTTGGGTGTTAACATCAAGATAAAGATTAAATTAATAAGGTGTCATTTGTGATCAACACTTCATCAGTTAGGTAGAAAACCAATTATTCTGACTGGGAGTTGTGAAAAACTATATAGCCGAGATATATAGCAGGATTCATATTCCTTTATAATATTGAGTGATGTCATATGCAACCTGTTCTTTTTTCTGGTTGATCTTGTAGTAGCTGAGGGATTTCATACTAGTTTCATTAGCTTTATACAATATGGATTCTGCTTTTTAGTTTACCTTGTGACAGTATCGAATTTCTTAATTCTTTTATAATGATTGTTTAACCTCTACTTCGTGTATATTTTTCCTAAAAGGATGCATACTAAACATAAAGGACTTGATTTTGTCTTTTGGGTGACTCTTTGCTTTCAATTACTTTCTTTGAAAAATACTGATGTTATTAGATTGCAGAAGAGTCCTTAACAGTTTAGTGACTAAACAACAACAAAAAGTGATAAGTAATCACTGTCACCAGATACTGTGGGCTCATCAGTTTTTATCCCTTTTTATTTCTAGTACATTTTGATGTTTTCATTTTAAATGAAGGTAGAAGGAAGAATGATAGGTTTAATTGGATAAACAATTGCTTCAACAAAGATAATTCAGAGGTGGATGATACAGATGAAAATGATGGGCTTTAGATTCAGACTGGGTTCAGCTCCTAGCTTTCCTCCCTATTAGGGTTATGACCTTGGGCACATTACTTATCATCAGCAAATAAGTTCCCTGATAGAAAAGGGCAAATAGTAATGCATCCTTCAAAGGTGGCTGTGTGTATACATAGTATTCCATTTAGTGAAGAGCACATGCCTGTCAACATCATTAAGTGCCACGGTGACTATTTTTATTTCATTGTTGTTAATATTTTTGCTTTAAGCCAGCAAATAGCCTTTGCTTAACCCAACCTCTAGCTGACTTTGAAGCACAATATATCAGACTAAGGAGGAAATGGGGGATTCGTTCCTTAAATACTCACCTGCCTCAGATAAGTGACCTCAGCACAGTTTCTGGTCCATCAAGGACTTTGTTATTATTTTTGAAAAGCATTTATTTATTTGACTGCATGGGGTCTTAGTTGTTGGAACTCTCAGTTGCAGCATGTGGGATGAAGTTCCCTGTCCAGGGATGGAACCTGGGCCCCCTGCCTTGGGAGCCTGGAGTCATAGCCCCTGGTCCACCAGGGAAGTCCCCATCAGGGACTTTTGAAATAGTAAGTGCTGCTACGTGCCATCCCAGTGGGACAGGAGGCTTCTTATCCATTGCTTCATTTTAGCCTTGGAGGTCATTTACAAGGATGTACACTTGAGCGTGTAAATGGTCAGTTCTTCATGGAAGGGCAAGATGTTAACTTGGTAAAGCATATCAAACGAGCTGTTTCTGTAAGTTCACTCAACTTCCTGAGGGTGACGTCATCTCTCTGTTGTTTTAGAACCGCCCTCATACTTGCTGTCAATTACGAGTCTATGAATGTAGTCAGTCTTCTCCCTCAGCGAGGTGCTGACATCTTTTCTGAAGATGTCTTTGGATGGACTGCAGAAGAATATGCTTCTCTTAGTGGTTTTAATATGTAAGTGTTCACATTAAAACACTAGTGATCACTAAACTGCCGCCAAAAAGAATTTTAACTGTTACTTGTTACATGAGCAGTGAGAGTTTTCTGTTCGGTGCAGGCACCTTCTATCCTGTGGGGGCACCTTTCCTTAGGTCATAGGTTCCCTGTCATCCTTCCCAGAATAGTGGGTGTCAGCTTGCCTGAGATTCCATAGTTACATGGAGGGCTGGCCCCTCATGGGATCTGTTTCCTGCAATAATGAAAATCTTCCAAAGGATTTATCTGCCTCAACCGTAAATGTTTTCTGAGTCTGTCTCACAAGGAACCCATTCACCAGAACTCATTAAATCTCAAGTAAGTTAGTTCAGAGAGGAATTTAGAGAGGTAAGCCCTGCCTAGGACTTGCCAGTATCCACTGTAAGAGTAGGGTTATGTCTTCCAAGTGAATCAGAGATGAACATGGAGATTAAGCATCATTGTCAGAAAGATCTGCTGGTTGAGAGTTTGAGCAGGTAGAGAAGGGAGAGTAGTGGTCCAGGCCAGGTCTTGACTGTGATTAAATTTTTGTGCTTGGTGTGATTAGCTGCAATAATGGGGGATAATTGTGTTACCTAATGTCGTGAGTTCACATTTTATAAATAAATTTAGGCACAAATTATGTAAGAGCTGAGATTCCCTCAATTACAAACCACAAAGGACAACTAATCACCATAATTAATAACAGTTTCTTGCAACCATTGAATGCTAAACCTATAAGAAAACACACATTGGTTTTATTTGGAATTCCAAAGTAGTTCCAACAATAAAGTTCAAGAGCAAATTATTCCATTCTTTGACTGTTTCTGCAAGCATTTTGGGGATATATTATCTCATTAACTCCTCTTAATCCCCTTGTGAAATAAGGCAGTAAGATCCCAGTTGTGTAGAGGATGACTTTGAACTCAAGAGAAGCAATTCTCTCGGAACAAAGAGCAGTTGGTTATAGAGTTAGGATTTGCAAGCTCGAGAGATTTTCTGTATGCCAAGCTAAATCTAGTTAACTACTGAGCTATATTGCCCTCAGTTCATGACTACTTCATCTTCCTTTTCTTTCTCCTTTAAATGCATGCTAAATAAAACTTGGTAGAACTTAGAAACTTGAAATGTATGGGACAATTGTAGTTTTGATATTATCGCTGACATTGTCTGAAATAATCTTAAGAATTTAACATATTTGGCAGTTTTTCATATCAGTGTTAAAATATTATTTATCACATTTTTAACACATAGCATTTGCCAACTGATCTGTGAATATAAAGAAAAGAGGCCTAAAACTCCTCCTGAAAAGAGCAATCCAGGTACGTCATCTGATAATAATGAATTACTCTTGGTGATTCTACCATAGATAAAGTAGTAGTGAAGAAACTTCAATAATGAAAGAACTATGATAAAATTAGTGTAAATTTCATGTGTTTTTAAATGAATTTCTTAATAGTCTAGTCTTCAGAATTGTTAAAGAAGTTAATTGTAGGTAATTTAACATCAGAGACAGTATTGTCTGAAAAGCATTGCATGTATTTAATTACAGCCCCTAAAATCCTGTATTAGATTTTTATGTACATTACAAAAAATGTTTAAGTTACTATGGTATATATTTCATCTATAACCCTCTTATAGCAAGTTGACTTCTTATAAAAGTGGAGCTTTAATTTTTACAAATAGTTTGCATTTAGTGAATGAATAGTTATTAGTTACTGTGTAGTGATTGGTCTCATTAAAAAAGTTACCATCGTTTAAACTGGGAACCTCAACAGTCCCTTCCTGGTAGGATAAGAAGTGATAAACAATAAGAACTGCAGTGCTGAACCAGTGTGCAGCATACCAGGAAGAGATTACTTTCGGAAGATACCTTCCAATAGTACAGATCAGAAAAGCGATGCCTAGTTGAGAAGCACCGGTTATTTTGTCTATTGTATCAACAAGGTCTCTATTACCAATTTTATTCCTCACAGATCCAAAAAGAGTGAGATAGGTTGACTTCATTAGAACCAGATGTTTTCTTCTGTGTGTTGGATAATTGTCATGATAGTTTAGTTTTGTAAGAACAACATGTTCTGTTGCCATTATTTAAAAGATGATCATAATAGATTTTCAAATAGATCAACTTGGGGCTCTGCAGATTCTAATAAAAGAACCAGCACACTTCACATGAGCAAAAACACCACTATGTCCCCTCGATGTGGCATCTAGCACATTTTACAAGCTGTCTGAGAACACCTTTAAACCTAGTTAACCTCTGTCTAATCAAAGGGGGCTTCCCAGGTGGCTCAGCAGGAATGAATCCGCCTGCCAGTGCCAGAGATACGGGTTCCAACCCTGGATCGGGAAGAGTTCCTGGAGAAGGAAATGGCAACCCACTCCAGTATTCTTGCCTGGGGAATCCCAGGGACAGAAGAGCCTGGTGAGCTACAGTCCATCGGGTCACAGAGAGGCGGACACGACTCAGTGACTGAACAGCAACAACATCCACCAAAGAACTTCTGTAGGTTGATTTTACACGTTAGGGGAGATACAGAGATGACATAGAGTCTTGGTGTTCAGTATGCTCAGAATAGAATAGAGTTGTCCCTGGTTAATTTCTATAGTTTTCAAAACAGAGTTTTCAAAGAAAACATTCTTATTTATTTGTTCATTTGTTCACCAAAGAGATAACTTTCAAGTGTCTTTTATGTCCTAAGCGTTGTTCTGATGTCACAGGGTTGCACACATTTGAAAGTCACTGCCCCTGCCCTCCAGGCCTGAGCTTGCAGTGCACACGCGCTCCCAGGCCGCACGCCGCCCGCGCAGGCGCACGCCCGGCTCTCCGCTCACACGCCCCCCGCCCCCCGCCGGCCCGGCTTGCCGCTCACACAGAGATGACATAGAGTCTTGGTGTTCAGTATGCTCAGAACAGAATAGAGTTGTCCCTGGTTAATTTCTATAGTTTTCAAAACAGAGTTTTCAAAGAAAACATTCTTATTTATTTGTTCACCAAAGAGATAACTTTCTAGTGTCTTTTATGTCCTAAGCGTTGTTCTGATGTCACAGGGTTGCACACATTTGAAAGTCACTGCCCCTGCCCTCCAGGCCTGAGCTTGCAGTGCTCCTCTCCCCATGGAGTCACTGCACGGGAGTCCTCCCTCCAGCGTCAGATCGTGACGACGCACGTGAGACGTTGTCCAACAGCACCAGAGTCCATAGCTTCCTCTCTCCTTCCCTCCCTCCCCTTATTCATCAGCTTAGGGTCTGATGACGAATGCCTTCCAAGCTGAGAAGGCATCATTTCTATCAACCTTTGCCATATAATGGGGAGGATTGATGTAATGATATCCCTCAGTAGAACACAGCACTGTTTGGACCATCCTGCTCTAGGTGGTCCAGATACTCTTGAACAATGGAAGGTGATAGTCTCAAGAGAGTATACTTTTCACATTTATTAGGTACACATATATATTTAAAATATGAAAAATGCTCAGCCTCCGTGTACCCTGCAGCATGCTCACCACTGCAAGTCTAATCCCCGTCCTCACCACCCAATTGACCCATTTACCCATTTACCCTCCCCAACCTCCCTTTCAAGAGATTATCCTTTCTAAACCTGGAATCACTGCATCTTTCATACTTTTCTTGCATTTGGAAAGAGGGCCAGGAAGACTTTCTTTCCTATGTTTTACCATGCTCTGAAGTTCAGCGCCTGTAGACCACGCTTCCCTGTGATAGGGCATTTTCATCCTGAACTGAAGAGCCGGAGAATTTGTGTCATGTCCCAGCAAGACACCTGTAGGCTCTGTTCACTGCTCCAGGGGATGGAAGCCCAGAAGTCCTGCGCTGTTCAAGTGTGCTGTTGTCAGTTTATAGTACTGATTCTATTCATGCTGTAGTATCATTTTCTGTCAGGCTCCTAGAGGTTGGTTAGGACTATGGTCATTGTATCAGCAGTTCTTTCTTCTTTTTTTCTGTTCTGCCTTTGATGACCATAAAGGAGAGGAGTGGTTCTTAGGCATTAATGGCCCATGAGTATAGTGCAATCACTATTCCCTCTAGTGTGGTCTCCAGGTGTGGTCCCAAAGGAATACTTTTAAACAAAACATCCGTCTTGAGGTTTTAATAGTCTGTATTTTTCTTTTGTTGATTTAAAATGTGTCTTCCTTCTTTCTTTAATAGTGAATACGAGTTCTGAAGAAGACTCTTAAAGCAGGTAGGATTTGACGGATTTTTAAAACTTGTATGTGTTACTAGGAGAACACACAGAGAAGAGAAGCTACTGTTTTTTGAGCGTTCTACTCTGGGTTAGAGACTGCATCATGTGCGTAACATCTGTGACCTCATTGAGTCATCAGAGCAGCTTTGTAAAGTAACTGTGTCCTGCTTCTACTTAATTAGGCAACTGTGGTTCGGGAGGTTGATGAGTTGACCCATGATTCCATGCTTAAAATGAGTTGACCTGTGACTTGACAGCTGGCCTGCCTGGCTCCAACATCCACTCTCGTGTCCCTCAGCAGAGATTGAGAAGTACCCGTGTAGCATATAAGCGAAACATGTAAATTAGTTCTTTGACTTGTGTCCAGTTTCAGTTTTAGACATTGCGGGGGACTCCTGTATCCCCTTTACAGTAAAGGGGAGGAATGGGGCCTTCTCCATAAGTGATACCCCTGCTGAAGGACGAAGACTGCCGTTTTTGATGGACACAGATTAGTCTCTGAACCAGGGACAGACAATGGAGAAGGAACAGCATATCCTGCTGCTTTAAGTCATCAGGTTTATTCCACTTTGGGCAAACAAATGTTATGTCAGTCCGTCAATAGGATTTTCAGTTCAGCTATTAGGACTTGGTGAAAACATATTATTCTCAGGCTCTGCCAATATATTGGCTGTCAGTCTTTGTTAATGGAAACTAAGAATGAGTCTTACCTAGATATGTCATAGGTTGGGAGAGATGCAAGCAGAAATAGGTAACTAACATCTTTTTTGGAGACTTCTCTGGGGGTGCAGTGGTTAAGATGGTTAATAAGACTTCTCCTTCCAATGCAGGTGGTGTGGGTTCAATCTCCAGTCAGAGGAGCTGAGATCCCACATGCCTTGGGGTCAAAGAGCCAAAACAGAAGA